TTATTTTCGTTCACAATATTAACAATTTCAAATCAATAACTTTTACTACTGGAATATAATAATCGGAATATTTTAATACATTGATGAAATGTTGAAATAAAAGTAGTAGTAATGATAACAAACGTAAACATAAGTCATCAAAATTTCCCGGGATGATAAAAAACGAACATAGGAAGAATAAATTGAGAATTAAATTTTACACTAAGAATTGCTTTTTTAAACTATTAAACTATTACATCTTTTTATCGTATTCATATATATATATATAAACATATTTATCGAAACAATTCATATTAAAAGAAAAAAAAACGGGAGAAGAGCATTTTCCTTCTGATGATAACGTAATTTAAATGTAAATAAAACAAAAAATTTCGAAAAATTTTTTCAATTAATTTGGAAATAATGAGTCAATGTCCATCCCATTTATCCATTTATTTATTTGTCAATTTTCTCTTCTCTCCCCGCCCCTGCCTTTTCTTCCCAGCTTCTCTGTCCAGTCGATATTAAAGTATGTAAATATTTATACACATTTATCTATCTATATACATATGTATTGTATATGTGAAATTTAAATATTCATGTATGTATGTGTGTGTATGTTTGTATGTGTGTATGAGTGTATCGGTTCGTGTAAATAATTTTAGCTGCCATATCAATCAACGGAAGATTTTTTAATGGTTCTCTATGTGGAATGTGAAAACATCTGCTTCGAAAAACATATAATGAACATATGTCTCGGATTGCTTCTATGATAGATATGTTATATGTAAAATATATAATTATATAAGTATGTATATCAACTGGTGTCTCATTTCATTAAAGAGTTCTTTCATTCCGAAACAAATATTTTACTTCCACATTATAGAGCATACATTTTGATAGGCAATAAATGATAGCTTCAAAATATGTACATATATTACGTATATCCTTTCAAACATTCATTACATTCGTTTGATTTGTGAAAAGCTGTTAGCTATGTTTTATTTTTATTTATTTATGTTATGGTTTAAAAAGCGTCTAACTGAGCATAACTTTATAACTTCAAAAATGTGAAGCTTTAGGTATTTAGTTGTTTGAAATCATTATCAGTGGGATAATTTAGCCGATGGATGGATAATAATGATGATAATATATTGCGAAAACAACTGAGTATAATTCGAGATAGATTAGAAAAAAATATTGTTGATCCTATAAACATGTACTGGTGAATTCGTTGAATAGCTTTTCTATAAAGCATGTCATCTTACTCATATAAATATTTTCATGATCATGATTATGAGATTGTTGTTACAATTATCATATCGTTATTGCGTCATCATTATTATCATTGTCATCATCGTGACCTGTCAGCACTGTCAAAGTCATAACTATTCAAATTACCATTATTGCTACATTACTTTTATCGTTCGCATTATTTGCTTCTACCGCATAGCACCGTAATTGTTATTATCATTATTACAGTTAATATTGGTCACATTTATCATCATTATTATTTCCATGAAAAATCAAACATAAACAATATGTAAAAAAAGTAGAACACTTATACTTAGCACTTGGAAGCTACCGTATCAAACATCCAATAATGACAAAGTTTCTGCTCTTTCGCTCTTGCTCTTTCTCTCTCCCTCTCTGTGCTCATACGTTAAACTCCGCCCATCTATTTTCCCGCGATCTCTCCGAGAGAATTATTTTAATGAATTAGCAGGCAAAATTTAGGATGATGATAAGATATGGGAAAATTTAGCTTGAACAAGGGCGGAACTGTAAAACAAATAGATAAGCCCATCCCAAATGAGGGCGGGTATGGATGTAACCAGTGAAGGCGGAGAGATGAGGTAGGAGGAGTTGAAGAGATGGGTTGGCCTGAACTTCGGGGACTATTCACTGGTGAACATGATATATTGCCCACCTTCTTACCCACTCCCCGTCCTCCTTTATTTCCTACCGATCAGCCCAGCTGAACCATCGACCACCTACCTATCCCGAAACATTCGTGAACAACATGTTCAACAAGCAATCACTGGGAGGTAGTGCTGTTGAACAACCCACCATTGCCACGCTTACAACTGTCCATCAACTCCAATAATTATTTGCCCTCATTCCGTTTCGTATTAACATTATTAATCGTTATAAAGGTTCCGTTCATTCCGTTCCGCAACAACATTATTAGCCTTCTTAAAAATTACTTTCTTCCTGTTCAGCATTACCAAATATTATTAGTTTCTTTCAAATTTACTTTGATTCTATTTGGATCATCGTTATCTTTATTCCATATCCAATCTATCCTTTTTCCATTTCATTATTGCTAAAAATTAGAGTTACCTGTTCTATTGTACGTTATTTAATATAATTTTGGATGATATGATATTAATCGTTGATAATGTTTTATTGTTGTTACAACATAACGACAATATTCTTATATTGTCATCAAATCAGTCAATCAGTCAGTCATTTAGTTAGTCGGTCAGTCAGTCAATCAGTCGGTTAGTCAATCAGTGGTTCTGCGATGACAATCTTTGCCGATTATAGTGTTATATTCATCATCCATTTCTCGTCGCTATCACCTATTTCCTTCAAATTTTTCCATCTCTTTTTTTATTTTTTCTCTCTCTCTCTCTCTCCTTCTCTCTCTTCCCTTTTTATTTTTCTTTTTGTTTCAGCTTCTTTACTGTCATCATAAAATAAATTAATAATTTAAAAAAATTTATTTAATTCTTCTTTCTCTTCATGTTGTACCGTTTAATTATGTCTATCATTCAACTGACACTACCGCTTCGATTTAAATTGGTACAGCCAGGTAAATTGCGCGTAGAAATCCAATTATCAGATAGGAATGAATGAATCGTTCAGTTGATTGATGATGGCATTGCGACTGATGTTGATCAACTAAACCAGCGATAGGCGATTTTCACATTTTACACGTTTTACGCCTCAAACTGACGTAACAAAAGTATACCTAAAGTGGTAGGGATAGGAAGAGAATAGTGTAATTAGCATGGCTAATTAGCACTAAATAAGAACGAATAGATGTAGGTGATGAATTATAAATATTAAATATCGAAAAAGAATTGATCTAATGAGAAACATTGATAAGAGTTGATGAAAGGAAAGCATAGATAAGAAATGATCCAAAGACAAATAAGTAAGATCTCGTCAATCAGTATATTTGTAAGTAATGAAACGAATAGAATAAAATCAAGGCTATGAATTTAACAAATTGCTTGATAATGATCAAGAAGTAAATGCCTAAATTTCTTAGCTTTTTTTTATTTAAGCCTCAGATACTTCTGTTTATTCTGTTTCGTCGAAAATGGCAAAAGTATACTTCTCACGATTCGTCTTCTTTACCCAATCTTTTGAAGAATCTTTAAAGCACCATTCAATTCTATTCAATAATTAATTATTCATTTCGAATCATTAACAAAAGAAGTCGAATTCAATAATTGACACCATTAAGATTTGAAGTAATTGTCATAAAATATTTATCTGTCATTCAATTGTTTAATCGTACCACTTGCTACTATTTGCGTCGGCAAATTTTAACGATTTTTAATTTCCTCTCTCTCACTCTCTTTTTTTTCTGGTAAATAAGTATATGTGAAGAACATTATAAGAAGCAACATTTTATTTTTTGATAAAAATAAAAAAAATTGAAATTTATCAAATATTTCAAAAATGAAATAATTAATCAAATTTGTCAACAATAATAATACTAGTAATAGGAGTAATACATATTGTACAATATAGTTATCTGCTGACTAACTTTCTGACCGATGAACTAATTCTCCAAC